GTACAACCAAAGAAGCCTCCCCCCACTCTTTCTCCCTTCCCCCAGGCAGAATGTAATACGCCCTCCTCCATGCCCCACCCCCCCAGCACCTTGTATGTATTTCTATTAGCACATAACTTTTGATATGTCCCTATTACCCTCACTGATGTGAAAGGTGGACACATCAGAGGGCAAGGTCCTGTCAGCATAGACCACCTCATGCCCAGCCCCTGACGCCCTGTCTGGAAGACAGTAAGGACTCGGTATTTGCATGGATGGATGGGTGGGTGGATGGATACAGAACAATAAACTCTGATTATTTTAGCTTTCTAAAGCAGGCCTGTTTCTTCTGAATCTCTGATCCCTCTACCAAGTGAGCCAACAGAACCAGGAAGAAATGTAGACGACAGCAAACAATACAAAGCCATGGGGTTTATCATTGACCAGCTTCTGGTCTGATCAGCCCAGGTGACCTAAACACCCAATGGCCAATTCTTCTTCGAGAAGTTCAAGAAACCACTTGAACAGTACAACGCAAAGCGCCTTTTGAACACTCCCTAGTCCTGTGACTCCGTCGTCTGCACCTTGCCGAGCAAAGGACGCCTCTGAGAACCAGCTGTGATTCACACGATCAGCCCTCTGGCAAATAACCTAGGGTGGCCTGCTGGAACCTATCCAATCAGTGTATTTTACCATAAGAGTGCCTCCCCAGGAGGTCAACCTGGTTAGAGAATGCAAGGTGGCCTTGGCATGCTCCCCAGCAGCTGGTTGGAATGTACTTCATCTCATTTCCAAGAATCTTTCCAGGTCACGTTCAAAAAAATAAACACTGTGCTCAACTTAAGTCACAGGAAAAATACTTGGAGATGCAAAGGTGACGGGAACTGACATCTACTGAAGTCACATTTGACTTTCCGGTAGTTCTGTGTCAGCCACACCCATATACTTTCTCGCTTGACGGAAAAACCACTAGTTGTAGTCCGGGCCATTCCAAGTTATAGAAACCCCATGTGTTTCAGAATAGAACTGCATTCCAATAGCTGAACTCTCGGAAGATCACTATGCCCATCTTCTGAAACACCTCTCAAACCAAAAAGGCAAACTCACTGCCATCAAGTTGATGCTGATGCATAGCAAGCCTATGGGGCAGGTAGAACTGCCCTCATGGAGTTTCCTGGACTGTACCTCGTTTATGGGAACAGGGAGTCGCGTCTTTCTCCCATAGAGTGGCTGGTGGTTTTGAAATGCTGACCTTGCAGTCAGGAGCCCACGAGGGAGGCTCCGCAAGGTAGACTTAAACCACCAGCCTTTCTGCTAGCAGCCAAATGCTTACCCGCTTGTGCCACGCAGGGACTCCATCTGTTTACATTACTATTGCTATTTCAGAGGTACCTGGAGTTTAAAGTACTTATACAACTGGTATGGATAATGTCTTCCAGGAATATGTGTTGTAATTCCCCACCTCTATGTCTGTGACTTAAGGTGCCCTGGTGGCATAACGGTCTAGACAACAAGCAGCTAACCCCAAGGTCAATAGTTCCAGTCCATTGTGGAGGTCAGATTTTATGTCAGCTTGCACCTGTGTGAAAGTATATGGGTAGGGGCCAACCTGTCAAGTCATGGCTTGAGGATGCCTCCTTGGAGGCGAGGCCTTTGTATGAGAGACAGTGAAAACTTCTCTCTTTTGCCTTTAGCCTTCCCCTTTGCCTGTGCCTGGGGATGGCCCCATGTGGGCTGCTGACCTGGAGAGCTAGCTGCTGGCACTTTGCCAAGTTCCAATCGACCCAGACTTGGATCCATGTGACTGCACCCACTGGACTGTGCTCTCCCTGCTTCACCTTTCTGCATCATTGGCCTGCAGCTGTGTGAGTCTGAAGAGGACCCAGCTAGCACTGGACCCAGCGACGTGAGTTGGACTGGGCAGGGATGCCTTCTTCATATAAAATCACCTCTCGGTAAAGTTCTTTCTTATGCATCTATGAGGGTCACTGGTTTTGTTTCTCCAGACAACCCAGCCTAACACACCCACCATCCACCACTCCTTGAGAGAAAGATGACCCTGTCTGGTCCCATAAAGATTTGAAAATCTCAGAAAGCCAAAGGGGCAGTTCTACTCTAGCCTATAGAATCACTAAGAGTTTGTTTGTATGCCTGTGAAACCAAACCAGACCAGCTGCCTCGAAGTGACCCCACGTGTTGCGAAACACAACGGTGCTCCCTGGGTTGCTCCTCCCCGCATCCTTTCAGAAGCAGATGGTCTTCAAAGGCACCTCTGGCTGGGTTCAAACCACCCACATTTCTGCCAAGAGCCAAACTGTCGGCCCTCTGTGCCCCCGGGGCTCCTCTCACAAGTCAGGCAGCTTGCTCTTCAGTGGTTGAGCATGGGCCAAAGCTTTGGTGTAGGTTCTGATTTTGCTTTTCATCTGGGTTTTTGGTTCAGCCGGGAGGGGAGGGCCTCCTTCGTGGAGCACGTACGATGGGGCTTCAAAAGATCCATGGAAAAAATACGTTGAGAGATCATGAGATTTTTCCTCACACTTTCCAAAGTCCCCTCGTACATGCCAGAGGCCACACTGGATGGTGCTGAAGGACGGCGCTGCCGAGGAGTCTTGAAGGTGCCGAGGGTGCCCGAAAGAACACACCAATCCGTCCTGGGAGAAGGCCGGCCAGGAGGCTCCTTAGAGGCAAGGCTGGCGGGACTTCTCTCGCGTACTTCAGAGAGGCCAGGCCCTGGAGAAGACCGTCACGCTTGGTAAACTAGAGGGGCAGCGAGCAAGAGGAAGATCCTGGAGGAGATGGACGGTCACAGCGGCTGCAGCACTGAGCTCACACATACGAACAATTGGGAGGCTGATGCCTGACCACGCAGCGTTTTGTTTGCTTGTGCACGGTGGTCACTAGGAGTCAGAAGCCACTCCACAGCACCTGCCACCACCACACCACTGCGCGTTTTGTAAACATGTTCCCATGAAAACCGCTTCGTCACCTGGGTGGTGGTGGTGGGTGTCAGCAAGTTGATCCTGACTCATGGCGACCCCCATGAGTCAGAGGAGAGCTGCTCTACAGGATCTCTGAAGTGGATCTCCCTCGACAGGATCTCTAAAGTGGATCTCCCGCTACAGGATTTCTGAAGTGGATTTCCAGTTCTCTCCTCCAAGGCACCAATCTCCTGGCTCCTAGTTCCATGCTTAACTGTCCACGCCACCCAAGGACTCTTATAATGCTCTCTTAAGTTTAACCCCAATTTATAGATAAGAAAACCAAGGATCAGCAGGTAAAGGAACATGCACAAAATAAACCACTACCAGAAGCAGGGCTTCTATTGGGCTGCTAACCACTAACTCAGCAGGTCAAAGCCAGCATCCACTCCATAGAACAAAGACAAGGCTTTCTACATTCCTGTAAAGAGCTTCTGCCCCACAGCGGCAGGTCTACCCTGTCCTATAGGGCTGCTATGAGAAGGAAGTGGCTTGATAGCCATGAGTTATCTGGTTCCAAGCCTGTGTTTCTGTCCATACTACAACTTTCCCTTCACGAGCTTTCCACCAGCCATGGTCTACAGCAGCACAGGCCCAAAGACCGCCTTCAAATGCAGAGTGCCTCAGCCTGCAGACGAGACAGCCATGTTTGCCTCTTCAGAACCTTACAGAGTAAGCTGGTGCTTTCCTGGTTTCTCAGCTACCACTCAAATTAAGTCCAAGGAGCTGTAGACATCTCTATAAATCTCTATCACAGGTTTAAAGTTGAAAGGATTTTATATCCATTCATGGCCACGAATCACTGGCTGGTTCTGCATTTAAATTACGCACTTTACGCAAGAAAGGTTATCATTAAAATGGTGTCAAATAGCATAGGAATTTAAAAGCCTTTCTCTAATTACATGTAATTTATTCTCTGCTGACTTTTAAAATAAGATTAAAAATTCAAATCCACCCAAGTAAGGACTGAATAGAATCACCTTGTAACCTTCAGGGTCCAGCCATTCCACCCTGGCTAAAGACTGACTTTCCTCTGCTACCTTTGAAAAATATGAGCTTTTAATGCGTTACTAAGGAGTGCTGGTGGTGTTGTGGTTACGGTGTAGGACCAGTAACCTCAAAGTCAGCAATTCAAACCCACCAGCCACAACAAGGGAGAAAAACAAGTCTTCCTGCTCTCGTAATGAGTTAGTCTTAGACACTCACAGGGACAGTTCCATCCTGTCCTTGAAGGCTGCTAACTTTACGATCAGCCATTGGTACCCACCAACTGCTCAGTAGGAAACAGATGAGGCTCTCTACAACCTTAAAGAGTTAGAGTCACTCGGAAACCCGCAGGGCAGTTCTACCGTACCCTATGAGTCTGTGGTACTTGCATAACCTGTGTCTGTGGTACTTGCATAACCTTTTGAAGTTAAAAGAACGAAGGAGTGGGCTATGATAGTTAGGTTTTTTGTGCCAACACTGCTCCCGTAAAATCATGTGGGCATCGTTTAGCCTGTCAGTCAGGCTGCAACTTGATTGGAGGGCGAAGAGATATGTGACTCTTTGAGGCCGGCCTCTCTCTCTCTCCCTGGAGGTGGACCACACACACTCTCTCAGCTTTCACCATCCTATTGGCAAGCCACGTGGTGCCACATAGAGACTGGTGAGAGTCCTGGAGATGCTTCCACCACAAGTGGATCCACAAGGCTTTGCACCCACCAGTCTGTGTTCTTCCTGTATTTTGCATCATTGCATGTGCTGCACGAGTCTGAGAAGGGATTTATGGACCAGCATCAGGCTTATGGGCTAATATCAGACTTAGGAACTTGATCTGGACTGGGCTGGTATGTTTTCTTAATATACATTTAGTCTTTAATATAAGGCTCTTTCTTATACATATATGAGTGTCACTGGAATTGTTTCTCTAGTCAACCCGGCCTAATACAGAGTCATAGTAGACTCATTGGCAGCATTTTCTTTTGTTTTGTTTGGGTTTTTAAGGGAGCATATATTTCCTTATCCACATTTGGGGATTCACACATACAGGAAAGCGCCTACCTCAGAAAAGAACTCATCCATGAAAGCTGTGTTGTCGATAGCAATCTCAACCTCATCAGCATCATCATCCTGTGTCAGCTGCTTCTGAAAGAGCCCAAAAAGGAGCATGGTGAGAATAAAAACTTCATCACGGATCCCGGGCACGGTAAGTAGCCAACACTGCACATATCCATGAACTTCCAGGAGCCATCTTACACACCAAATCTCCTTGAAGATGCAGAACAACGCTACCAGGTGCCCAGAGTCTGCTGCCCCACTTGTCTTCGTTTCAGGCCCACCTCTTCCATGGTGTAACATATAGATGGGTTTCAGGCCCACCTCTTCCATGGTGTAACATATAGATGGGTTTCAGGCCCACCTCTTCCATGGTGTAACATATAGATGGAAGTGCCGGGGCAAGTGACTAACCGTGGGGTGTCTTGGCTTCCTCATCCATAGAGTGCCAAGGGTACCACTCCCTACCCCCACAGGGTTGATGGAGGAGGAAAGGAGATAAGAGATAGCAAGCGCTGCAGTTAGCACAGCCGGCACACGGGGACCACTCAGTCAAGGCGAGGTGGTACGGATTCGTTGGTGTTGCATGTGTTTGGGAAGCTGGCACACCTGTGAAAGGAAACCTGCCAGAGAAGGGAAGCTCACATGGTTTCCATGAAAGGGAGCCGCAGAAAGTGCTAAGACTACACACACCCCGTCGAAGGCGGAAAGCGGTGAGATCTGGGAATGCAGGGCAGTCTCCTGGAGCTCAAGGTCCCGAGGCTTCCACTGAAAAGTCACTGAAGTTGAGGAACTCACACCTTAAAGGGATCGGGTTAATAGTTAATCACTTGGCTGAAGTCACAAGGCTAGGATGTGGGGGTGGGAAGACCTGGCCCCTGGAGCCCCGGTTCCTAACCCCTTCTCTGAACTGTTGAAATGTGTGGCCCACCAACCAGGGGTCTCATGTTAAGACACTCCTCTCCACTCTTCTTCCAGAGCCCCAGCTCCAAAGCCTCACACAGAAGCAGAGATCTTCCTGTTTTCAGGCCAGGTTTTCCGGTTTCCTCCCACCAGAGAAAGAGGTCTACATACAGCTTGCCGTCAGAGAATTCATGTTTGTAAGGAAGTGAACGCTCCCCCCCACAGCTCCCAACAACCTCTGGGGACCCAAGCTTTCTCAAGCTCACCCCAATTCCTCTGCAAGCTCAACAATGGAGAGGAAGCGCCTCCAGGGAGTACTCCCACTCCCATCTAGAGCCTGAGCTCTTTCGACATTCTGCTGGAAACTTCTCTTCCCAGGCCGCACGCACGTTATCGATCTCTGAGCACACAGGAGAAATGACTGCTGGAGCTGGGATGGGTACAGTGCCCAACTTCTGCTTCTTCACAACCTACAGGGATCGGCGGCCCCTTAAGCCTACAACTTGTCTTTCTCACGCGCAGAACACTCGAGGCACGGACACCGCCAGGGGCCTCTTTCCTTCACCCCCTCCAAGTCCCCGCCCCGAAGTGGGGCTTTCAACCAGTCCCAAACTGTTCCGTCTAAACTCGCAGAAACAAAGACAGTGTAGGGGTTGCATAGCAACAAAATCTCGTGCTCAGATTTTGACTCAAGCATGACACAGGCGTGTGGAAGTTGCACACTGAATAAGGAAGACTGAGGAAGAATGGGTGCGTGTGAACTGTTGGCACTCCCCTGGAGGAGAAGAATATTGAAAGTACCATGGTCTGCTAAAAGGCTAGCGTGCTCCCCTCCTTAGAGGCAAGGACAGCAAGACTTTGTCTTGCATATTTTGGACATGCTGTCAGGAGAGACCAGTCCCCGGAGAGGGACATCGTGCATGGTAAAGTGGAGGGGCGGCGAAAAGAGGAAGACCCTCAAGGAGATGGATGGACAGTAGCTCCATTACAGGAACAATTGTAAGGATGGTTCAGGGCTGTATAGTGCTTCCTTTTGTTGTGCATATGGTCACTATGGCCCGGGACTCAATGACACCTAACAATGACAGGAAACAGAAAGAGGTGTCTACTCAAAGACGGCAGCCAAACACCTTCAAAACAGCACAGTCAGCCACTGATGCCTGTTTCCTACTCCAATCAAAATCTAGCACTCAAGAAATGTGATAATGCTGCCCTTGTTACTGCTGGCCATGACTGACCCATAGCTAGTCAGAAGCACTGATAGCTGATAGCAGAAGATGGAGTTGTTTTAAATGCTATAGAAATGGGGGGTTCTCCAACCCATTGAGGGGATTTTTTTAA